AAGGTACACATGATTTGCAGGTGCGAAGCCTGATTCAGACGCATCAGGAATGTATTTGTGTACTCTACCTTCTGCAGAAAGGCTTGTCCCTCCCAGGTGCATGAATTACTGCAACACCTCCTCCTCGTAGTTTTCCTAAAGTATTAATCTTCATGAATCCTTAGCAATCCATTGAATACTGCTGCCAACTCTCCTATTTTTTGTCACAAGTCTTGGGATATTTACTTGTTTAAAAACACATGTTTAATCCTAATGATTGTGGAGAAGAGCCTGAAAGTAGGAAGTGAGTACTCCCTACAGGCTCAAAAACCAGGAAGCAAACAATAGGAGTCCAACTTAAAAATGAACACCCCCACCCCATGAATTTTGAATGCCTGAAGTTGGCAATACTGATTACATAACTCAGGTACTAATGAAGCCTGTGTCTCTTCCCCCACTTCTGCAATGAGCAGAAAGTGAAGTAGCTGTCCATTGTATAGCAAGACAGGAAAACAAAGACTGCCCCGTTTAGCAACTATGTTGAGTCAGCACTCTCTCTTGCTGGGCAATTACAATGCAGAAAACGTCCATGTCAGCAGCATTTGGGGACTACTACTGGCATTTCCCAATTGTCTCTTAACTACAATGCTTAGTTTTTAACTGTGGATTACTCAGGCTATGCCTACACTTGAAACATTGACGTATGTTCACTGCATCAACACTGGGAGAGATTCCTCCCAGCGCTCTAGGTAAACAAGGAGCACACTGGTGCATTACAGTGCTGTTTTTGGATATTCACAGTCACTTATGTAAGGTGGGCACTTCCCCACCTAAATGCTGATTTGAATGTCCCAACTGTGGGACATTGTATTAAAGATAGTTTGGAAAAGTACAGAAACTGTTTGCCCTTTTGGTTTATTTATGATGCATAAAGAAAACCTCGAAGGCCTCAACATTTCTGGCTTGTCTCTTTTATCAGAAGTTCAGATCTTAGCTATGCTGTCTTTCTTGAAAGACTCTATGGAGGCAGCTACACTAGTAAAGTCAGAATCCATCTTACACAAGAATTGGCAATGATATAGCATCAGCAGCATAAAGATGCTACTGTAGGAAAGAATCTAACAATCTGTTGGTTTTCATTACCTGGTAGAAAAAACATCCGAGCCCTGTCTATATTAACAGTCACAGCTTTGTTACACAGGTGCAGTGGTACCCATACTAATTTCTGTTGCATATGTAGACAAAGTCTTATGCATGATTAGAGAATTAGCAGGTTTAAGATCCCACAGATCTCATGGAAGTGAACCCTGATTAACTGAGGGGAAAAGATTGTTAGGCTAATCCTCTTTGTTTTGGGTTTGCTTTTAATTCAAAGACTTGAGTGAACAGATGGAAGGAGAGTTATTCTATTAAAGTTTCAGCAGCCAGATCTGGCTCCAGTTAAAAGTTGAGAGGACTCCCAGGCGACTACTCTAGGTCCTCTGAGAAAGCCTCTTGCACTCCAGGGAGATGTATGTCTTGACTTTTCTGAGGTGAAGGGAATCTTACCTTTTGGGGAAAAAAAATCTTCGGCTATGTCTACACTGGCGCAATCTTGCGCAAAAGCGGCCGCTCTTGCGCAAAAACTTGCTGCCTGTCTACACTGGTTGCGTGTTCTTGCACAGGAAAACTGACGTTCTAATGTATGAAATCAGGGCTTCTTGCGCCAGAACTCTGACGCTTCCACTCAGGAATAAGCCCTTTTGCGCAACTGTTCTTGTGCAAGAGGCCAGTGTAGACAGGCAACATGAATTTCTTGCGCAAGAAAGCTCTGATGGCCATTTTAACCATAGGGCTTTCTTGCGCAAGAAAGCTCTGATGGCCATTTTAACCATAGGGCTTTCTTGCGCAAGAAATTCATGTTGCCTGTCTACACTGGCCTCTTGCACAAGAACAGTTGCGCAAAAGGGCTTATTCCTGAGTGGAAGCGTCAGAGTTCTGGCGCAAGAACCTGCCAGTGTAGACGTAGCCTTCAGGTCTCCTTTGTGCCACTGTTCTGGTGCTGATCCTAAACATAGAAAAGGGAATGTCTCGACTGGCAATAATTGAGCTAATTCTAGTTAATTAGCTTAGCTGATATACCCCTCCCCATGCTCCTGGTTAAACTAAGGCAGTGGAACTAGTGCAGCTACAAGGACTGCTGAAACAGAGCTGCTCCTACTTGGCTGTCTATATTTAAGCAAAAAAGGTCACAAGCCCAAACTTACCTCTTTAGGTTATTTTAAGGTATTCAAATAGCATGAGGACTCTACTTTTGAGAAGACGACAGAGCCCACAGCTGTATGGTTTGGCCTCTTTAACATGCAAGTATTTTAAAATGCAGAAGCTGTGAGCAGCCATTACGTGGATTAAGAGGGGTAGCTGTGTTAGTCTGTAACTGGAAGAACTTCAAAAAATAATGAATAGTCACTCTAGAAGCACCTTGGAGACTAACAAAACATGTATACGGCTACATCTACACTGCAGGCTTCTTGCGCAAGAACTGTTTTGCACAAGAGTTCTTGCACAAAAGGTCTTGTGCAAGAGCATGTCCACACTGCCATTTACTTTTGTGCAAGAGATGTGCTTTTGCCGTGTGGATGCTCTCTTGTGCAAGAAAGCTGTGATGGTCATTTTAGCCATAGGGGTTTCTTGCGCAAGAAACCCCTGCTGCCTGTCCACACTGCCTTCTTATCATAGAATCATAGAAATATAGAGCTGGAGGAGATCTCAGAAGGTCATCAAGTCCAGCTCCCTGCTCTAGGCAGGACCAATCCCAACTAAATCACCCCAGCCAGGGCTTTGTCAAGCCGAGACTTAAACACCTCTAGGGATGGAGACTCCACTACCTTCCTAGGTAACCCATTCCACTGCTTCACCACTCTCCTAGTGAAATAGTTTTTCCTAATATCCAACCTGGACCTCTCCCACCACAACTTGAGACCATTGCTCCTTGTTCTACCATCCGTCACTACTGAGAACAGCCTTTCTCCATCCTCTTTGGAACCTCCCTTCAGGAAGTTGAAGGTTGCTATCAAAGAGCTCTTGCGCATGAGGGCTTATTCCTCGTGGGGAGAGGAATAACTCTTGCGCAAGAAGCCCTCTGTTACTACGCTTTACTGTAAATTTACTTGCGCAAGAACGCAAGTGCAGTGTAGACGCAGACGTAGATGGTATCATGAGCTTTCATGGGCACAACCCACTTCATTGTGCTCACGAAAGCTCATGATACCATCTACATGTTTTGTTAGTCTCTAAGGTGCTGCTAGATTATTTGTTGTTTTTTAAGTTTAGCCATTATATGGGGGCAGCCTATTCACTTTCCATTATGCCTAGTCCTTTCCACAGGTGACTCAGGAAAGGCCAGATTGTCTGGAAAAATACTTACTACACCAGATTTCAGTATTCACTGAAAGCAAGAGAAATGCATCTGTTTATGTTCCTTATCTCAGGTTATACTGTGTTTGAGAGAGTTCAGTTTTTCTTTTAAGGTCAATCTTATAGTTGGAGAATTTAGTCTGCTCTAGCCTTTAGCATTGTAAAAGAACTGCTTTGCCAGCCAGCTAGCACTAGAAGTGGGACAGTAGCATAACAAATAGTAAAATACAACAAAGGAAATAAAAACCAACAATCCAATCAAATAAATTAATCTGTACACAGCTGTGGAGGCAAGACCATGAGTTGGCTTGCTATTGGACCTGCTTCATCCCTAAGCAGGCCCGGAGCTCTCCCTACATACCTGATGATAGACTGGATGCCATTTACAAGACTGTATGTGCCGTGTAACAATTACTCTTCTGTAAGAACTTATGTTGCTGAAGCCAAAATTATCTGCACTTAAATTCAACTACTAACTACATAAATGGCCTTGGTATTCTTCCTCTGTCAAAGGAAATGTAGGGACCCAATTCAGCTTGGTAGTACCAGTTTTACAACTCACAATGCAGCAAACAGCAGTTTACTCTCCATCTCCTCACTAAGATCTATTAAAAAGGCAGCTGCTTGTGTTTTGAAATGTTTATTATGGTTCTTAAAATCTTCCAATATATTCTTCTTGAACTTTTTCCTACAAGAAGTGCTATTAGTATGATCCAAAAGGACACTGGATACCTCCCAGTGGTTGGGCCAAATGCTTTCTGCACACAGGGAGTTTAACCTGTGGAAATTCTGAACTCTTCAGTTTCGGTGTGTGGTTTCTCAGGACAAAACTAAACTTGGGCATGGGAATAGGCAGTACATTGAGAGTACATTACCATTAGTCACTGAATTATTTAATTGAAAATGTCCTTTATTTGCAATGAAAGAGCATAAGCTATGTAGTGGCATCCAGTTAACAGTGTGAAATCAGTTCAGATTGGTGCCAGTGGATTTAGCTTCCAGGAGCAATGTAGCGGGGGCAACAGGAGAGAACCTCAGTGCTTTTGCTTCAGTGTTCCTCCCTCAGGGGCCATGCTGCACCTGTCTTATGAGTTTTGTGACTTCCCCCTTAAACTCAAACAGCATACAGCCTCCATAGCCCAACCACACTGCTGTGTGACAAACCACCAGCCTGGTCCTACACAGCCATAATTTAGCAGCTGTTATTTGCTATCTCATCCCCAGGAAAGTAACCAGCTAGCTTAGACTAGGATAGTAAATGTGAAAACTCAGGACATGGGTAATAGGTGCCTCTATAAGAAAAAGTCCCAAAGACTGGGACTGTCAGTGGGTTGTGCCCAGGAAATGATACTCTATATAGTTGTTAGTCTCTAAGGTGCCACAGAACTACCTGTTGTTTTTAAAGTTACAGACTAACACAGCTATCCCTGGGAACTCTATGAAATCAGGACACCTAACTGAGCAGCCCACAACCATTCCTGGGTGAGACCATAAGTCTCACATCAGAACAGCTCAATTCAATTCTGATTCTTTTGGCGTAAGGGGGCGGCTCCCTTAGGGCCTCTCTCCGGAGGGACTGAGATCTGCGGCCTCTCGAGCTGTCCCCTGAGGCCCTGCCGGGCTCCAGTAGAGGGCGGCAGGAGTCGGCTCTGCGGGGAAGGGAGTCACCGTGAGAGAAGCCAGGTCCCGGTCCCAGCCCCCACCAGTCCCGTGGCAGCCGCGTGGGCGTGCAGCTGTTCCTGCTTTCTCCTCGGCTGCGCCGCTAGCAGAGCCGATAGGCGGGGCTAGTGTTCCCCGTCGCCCTCCCGTGCAGCTAGGCTCCGCCGCGGAGCTCTGGGGGCCCACCCGGTGTCCGGCAGGCGCGGCGCTGCTCGCAGGAAAAGCGGGGAAGGCAAGTCCGCGTGGTGCTGCGACCCCGGGCGCTGCGTGAGTGAGCTCGGGGCCCATTGACCGCCGTGTTCGTCGAGCAGCGGGTTACACAACTCGGGAAGCGAGAGGCGACTGACTCGTGGGGTTTCCATAGCAGGCTGGGGAGGGGAGTCCAGAAAAGGGCGGAGACCCCCCGAGGTGGGAGATATCGGTGCAGTCAACACACGAGTCCAGTGTTTGCTTTAGAAACATTGGAGCCCTCCCAAGGCAGATTTTTTTGAGGACAAGGCGGGGCCCGATCCCCCCCCTCTGCCTCTTCCCAGGGTGCAAAGTGATGACTTTTGGAGGAAGAGTCATTCAGTATCTCAGCAGCGATTCCCGTGCCCTCCAGAATGCGGAACCTTTTGGCGTTGCTGTTTCCATCGGCATGTTCCTTGCGGCACTCCTGGCAGCTGTCTGGGAGGCAGGAGAGCCTGTTTATTACTTGCCTGCTTCCAACTGTTCTGAAACTAGACTTTAGACCAGTAGTTCCCAAACTTTTGGGCATCACGCCCCCTTTTTGATTTTTGAGAAACCCTCATGCCCGCCCCCCTCCCAAAAAACCTTGTTGAGATAAATAAATAAATAAATAAAACCCTGACTGGGCCAAAAAACAGTCACAGCCCCTTTAATTCCCGGGGGTGGGGGTGGGGTGTGTGTGTGTGTGTGTTAAAGGTGCAGGTACTCCAGGTGCATGTTCTGGCGGACACCCATGCTAGGAAAAACAGAAAAGATCTGACATTTCACATGGTATTTTCTAATTTTTTTTATTGGATGGACTGGGCTCTTTTTTGGGGGGAGAGGTGGGGGGCCTGGGTAACCTTGCACCCCCTCCCAAAAATCTCTTTATGCCCCCCCCCCTCCCAGTTTGGGAACCTATGCTTTAGAGTTTAGACCATACCTATTCTGGCTTCTATTTTACTCCTTATTAGTGTTTGTTTTTAGAAGACCACATTTGAACGGAGACTGCACAACCTGGAGCAGAAATCTGCTACTGTTAAAACATTTAAAAAAAACACAAACCTGATTCTTCTTAGGGGTTGATTTCCTTGTTCCCTTGCTGTGTCTCATGATGCAAAATAACTGCTCACTTACCATGATGCATGACCAGTAACTGGGGTGTGGAAATGGGTAAACATAAATAGCATGAGCACCCGCATTATGTGGCTCATTGTCTTTTTTGAAAGGAACTCTGCTGGTCTCACCATGGCAGGAGGGTCAGTGTGATCAGCTGGTTAGTTTTTAATTAGCTCTAGAAATGCTCTAGTTTCAGGATGTTTAAACAGACTACTGGAATCCCTCGTGGTACTAACATGCTACCAAGGCTATTCTTGTCCCTGGAAAAGGACATTTAATTCTATGGCACTATTTTTGGGGGTTCAGATCACTTCTCTTCTGTCTTGCTTTGAGGTTGGGCTCTTTTTTTTTTATTTTGGGGAATTTTGGTTTGCTACATTGCTTTCCTCCCCCTCAGATATTGGCGTGACATGGGATGTGAAGGGAGGAAGGAATAGGCTATTTCAGCCTCCCCCTTCCCTCCTTGTGACTCCCCACTGCCATGTGCTTTTGCGGAAGAGATTTGCTTTTGCGCAAGAGCGTCCATGGCAGTGTGGACACTCTCTTGCGCAAGGAAGCTCTGATGGCCATTTTAGCCATAGGGCTTTCTTGCGCAATAAATTCATGTTGCCTGTCTACACTGTCTTCTTGTGGAAGAGCTCTTGCGCAAAAGGGCTTATTCCTCATGGGGAGAGGAATAACTCTTCCGGAAGAAGCCCTGTTTTCCGATGCTGTACTGTAAATTTACTTGTTTAAGAATGTGCATGCAGTGTAGGCGTAGCCTAAGAGAAGGGGGACTGTTACTATGCAGAACATATGAAGCAACATCAGAGGAGGCCTTGTGGTGACTATTGGCCACTTCTACTGCCTCTGCTGCCTTCTCTTACCAGCTGAGACTCCCACAGAGAGCTGAGGCAGTGCAGAGAGCTCACTGTTCTACACCATGGCCCCTGTCTGGAGGCAATCTTGTTCTCTAAACTCTGGGGATGTAAAATCCCATTTTAATTGGTTAACTGGTTAAACATATTGTTTAACCTGTTAACTGATTAAAGGGACAATGGCTGGGAGGTGTCGGGCTGGAGCAGCCTCCCCCCCAGTTATAGACCATGCTTGCGGTGCATCCGGGCTGTGCTGCTATTGACAGGGGCTGCTCTGGGTGGACTGGAGTGTCCCCTGCTTGTGGAAGGCCCTGTGAGGCTGGAGCAGGCCCCTGGCTGCAGTGGGCGGAGAGCTGCTTTCACCACCACCAGTAAACTAGAACTGGTAAGGTTGAGGCATGCCTGTTAACTGGTTAACCATTCACATCCCTACTAAACTCGGGCTGCTTTGAAAAACCCAGAGCAGGACAGTTGGCAAGTATGCTAAGGACTGCAGGATCTCTCCCCATTGTGGTGTTAAGCGCCTACATAGAGGTTTATGCCTATTGTATAGTGCTGCCAGCACCTTATGTAATGCTGTACACTACGTGTACTGTGCTAAACATGTAAGAGTTGCTGCCCTGAGTGAAGGCAAGTAGCAATGCCATAAAGAACTAACCCAGTGACTGGCATATGGTCATTACAGCTGGTCTACAAGCTCTTGGCATTACTAAATCTTACCATTTATGCAGGCCCCAAGCCTACAAAGACTTGGCTTTTGGTACATGATTTGTCACCATAACTACAATGGGACTATTAAGTCTTTGCAGAATCAAGTCCTTACTTTCCACAGATAAGGGGTTCCTGTTACAACCTTTTTGTTTAGTCTTTTTTTTTTAAACCTTTTTTTTTTCCCTGAAGAAGGAGCACTGCTATCTAAGATGGGATCCAAGCTCTCAGTGGATGACTCGGTGTGCGTTGTGATCGTTGGAGGAGGTTTTGGGGGAATCGCAGCTGCCAGACAACTGAAGTCCTGGGGAATCCCATTTGTTCTTGTGGATATGAGAGATGCATTCCATCATAATGTGGGTGCTCTTCGGGCCTCTGTAGAGAGCGGTAAGTTATTTGCTTTTTCTAAAGTTTGTGGACCATTTCTGGTCCCTTGTGATCTATTGACTCCATTGGAAGATATGGAGGTCATTTCTGAAAGATGAACTGCACAAGTTTAAAAAAAACTCTTGTAAAATTCCAAAATAGAAAAATGTCTCTAGTTGCGGTTAAACCAAACTGTTTCTGTATTCTGATAAAACTTGAGGTCACTACTTTTCTGAGAAACCTGAGCTGCAGACTTCTGATTCATGGGCACAGTGACAGCACAAATGCACTTGTTCCTACTAATGGTTATCTGCAAAAGCAAATTTGTAAAGTTATGCCAGCTGTACGTTTCCCAAAGCATGGGGAACACCGTGCCAGGTATTTGTGAAGATTTAATGATCACTCTATCATGAACAAGAATTTGAAACATGACTGGTACTCTGAATTGATATCTTTATCCTCTCTGATTCTTCAAATATTACTCCAACAGTGGGGGCATGAGCCTTGCAGCTAAGATTCCTCAGGAGGCTCTTAAATATCTCCAGTGATGGAGATCTCACAACCTCCCTAAGCAATTTATTCTAGTGTTTAACCACCCTGACAGGAAGTTTTTCCTAATGTCCAACCTAAACCTCCCTTGCTGTAATTTAAGCCCATTGCTTCTTGTCCTATCATCAGAGGCTATGGAGAACAATTCTTCTCCCTCCTCCTTGTAACTTGACTTGACTTCTTTAGATACTTGACTTGTGTAGCTTTTTGTATAATGTGTATGCGCATGAATGCTTGGGGCTCCTGTAGCTAAGTCCTTTGAATCCCCTGCTGAAGTTATGCTGCAATAGTGTAAAATATGACCTGTAACTTACTGCCTTTCTTCTCAATAGCGATCAGCTAGCTTAAAAAAAACCCTGCCTTCCTTTCTGCCTGCCTCTGTGTTCCATTACATATGCTGTTCCTGAACTTTATGTAAAAAGTCATAAAAGAAATGCTGTCAAATAGCATGAGACCAAATTTAGATGTACATTAAAATCTAACCAATATCTAATATCTTTAATACATTACTCTGCTGCTGAGACAATTTAAGGGAAAATAGCTCCTCTTGTGGCCCATGGGCCTGCAAGGAATAGCATGATTATTCTCCAACTCTTTCTTTCTAAACCACACGGGAGGGAGGGGTAGGAGGAGGAGAGAGAGAGGGACAGACTGACAGACTGACAGTCTTTTCAACAGATTACCTCCTCTTCAGCTGTCTGTTTCATCCTGTGATTTGCTAGACAGGGCTCTACTAGAAGTCCATGGACCATAACCTAAAAATTGCTGACAAATCCTTAAAGTCAAGATGACTTTGCCTTTTTGGCTTGAGTTATGGTTTTCTTATGAAACACTTCTCCCTTCTTACTTGATTCCAAATGAGATTTCTGGCTTGTCTACAGGAGGACGTCAAATTAATTTGGATTAATTTTCCTTGAAGTGGATCATCATTAAACTTATGTGCAAGCATGTCATTGAGGCCAGGTCTATTCTATAAATCTACATTAATTATAAAATGGATGAAAAACCCACACACCTGAGCATCATAGTTATACCCACCAAACCTCCCGTATAGATGGCAGTCTATCGATGGGAGAGATTCTCCTGTGAACATAACTACCGTCTCTCAAAGAGGAGGATTAGCTGTGCTGATGGGAGAAGCTAGCTGAACTGCACTGCTTAATGAAAACAAGCCCTATGAATTAAAGTGGCCTTAATTTCTTTCAATTTAATTTTCCTTCAAAGTGAATTAAACTAAATTAAAGCTCCTTTAATAATAGCATCCACACGGGGATTTATTTCCACTTCAAATTCACACTTTTCTTAATTTGATTATTTTTCCTGAATGCCCCTGTTTAGAGACACCATTAATTGTATACCTTCTGCTTTTAGTTCTTTTCAACTGAAGCAAAAACTTTCTGGATCTTACTGTGTGGCAGAGACTAGGTGTCAAGACACTAGTGCTGTGGGACAGGTCTCTATTCTGTGTGTTTAAAAAAAAAACAGATTCTCAAAGGAGAGCTAGTTGAATAAGATGTCTGGAAACAGCAGAAAATAGACTTTCTAGTCCTCCAACGTTTTTTTTTCTTAGTCAGTATGTAAGTGTCATTAACCTCCCCTCATTGCAGGATTTGCCAAGAAAACCTTCATCTCTTACTCTGTGACCTTTGAGGGGAGCTTCCGACAAGCCAAGGTGGTTGGAATAGACCCACTGAGGCAGAAAGTCTTGCTGAATGATGATGAAGTGAGTGCACTGGGGACAAAGTTAACTAAATGACTTCTGATGAATAATTTTACTCTACAAATACAAGAGCGAGGGGTTGATTTCTTCTCACTGTCCTGTTCAGATATCCTCTGTTTCTTTACATGGTTTCTTTCTTTGGACTGACCACAAACTATTAACTGAAGAATTTGAGGTAGTCCAAGTGGTGGTGATTATTTGTGATTGATCATGTGGTAGTCATCTGTTGTCTAATTGGATAAGGAACTCAGAATCAGGTGGGTGTAAAACAACTGTCTGGGCTCTGAATCTTGCAGTGGTAGCAAATAAGAAGGATGAAGAAATTTTAGAGTATTAGATTTTTTTATTTCTGGACCATACAGAGCTTGCCTCAGGCATGGTTCCTGGAAAAAGTACAGTACTGCAGTTGCTTTCCAGCTTATTTGTGTCCATAGTAGTTTATGCACCTTCCATACAAGAACACATGTTGATTTAAAACAAAACCAACATGCAACTCTCATTTAACATTAAAAACAGTAAGGCATTGATTCAAACCGAGCCAGTGATCCATTGTAATAAGAGTAAAAGTAAAACTACAATTTTGATGAATGCTTACAGTTGTGCGCACTTTGGCTAGGTCTACACTTGGGGACGAAGTTGAACTAACATACACAACTACGGCTACATGTAGGGCAGGGTGGCCAACCCACTTAACAAAGAGAGCTGAAACAATAGTGGGAAAAATTTGAAGAACCGCAACAGAATTGTCAAGCAAAAACAAAAAAGGAGGCTGCCCCTTTAAGAAACAAGCTTAGGCTTTTTGGCCATATCAGTCTCCTATCGACGGCCGCCATCTTGGGTACCATTTTGAATAGCTGCCCTGGTGAGCACAGAGGAGCTGGGGGCTGTTCAGGGGGCGGGGGGAGGAGCAGACACAGGGGTGGCTTCGTGAGCGCTGCACTTTTCGGGGAGAAGAGCCACATGCGGCTCATGAGCCGCGGGTTGGCCACACCTGATGTAAGGGGGTTGACAGGAGAAACTCTCCTGTTGATTTTTCCCTTACTCCTTGCGACCTGGTGGAGTATTGAAGTCAACAGGAGCACCGTCAGCCGTCAATTTAGTGAGTCCTCGATTCACTAGATTGACCCTCTGGAGATCAGTCTCTGCAGCATGAATCTCCCTGTAAATGGAGATAAAGCCAATGTCCTAGCAAATGGATTAACATACAGATGGCCACATTTTAGCACAATGCTGTGCAAGCTTAACTGAAATCTGTCACCATGTACAGCACCATCTGAGCACGTGATTATGTACAGAGGGTTCAGCTGGGGATGTAATCGAGTAGTTAGGGTTTCCAGATGGTTTAACAAAAAAATACCGAACACTCCTTCTCCCACCTCTCCCCCCTCCCCAAAAAAAACCACATCGGGAAAAAATTCTGTCCGGGCAGAGGGAAAAAAAGAGGGGGAGACAAAAGTTGTTAAGCAAAAGTTGCACCACTCCATCCAGTTTAGGACTACGTGCTAACCACCAATGCACCCATGTTTCCCTCTGAGCCAGGCCCCCCAGTCTCCCCATCCTAATGCACTCACCCCTGCCTCAGATCCAGGTCCCTCTAGTGTCCCCCCCCCATCTCAGTGCAAGCTGAGGCAGGCATCGCCAATGTCGGGAGCCCCCCCTCCAATCAAATCGTCCCCCTCCTCTCCTGCAGAGCCAGACATGGAAGAACAATCTGACTTTTAAAGTGGCTGCTCCTGCTGCCCGGCCCGGCTGCCTCAGTTTGCAGTGTATAGAGGAAGGCATCACGCGGCCAGTTCCCAGTCTCTGCTGGTCACATGGGACAGAGCAGCGTGCGCTCCGCTCCCATCCCAGCCTGGGGCCCCCCCCTCAGTGAGGTGCCTGGCCAGTGCTCCCTCCTGCCCCCCTTCATTTGCTGCGCTCCTAACTCCCCCGCCCCTGCCAGATGTGGCAGGGGAAAATTGTCCCTGCTCTGACTTCCGTCCCAGAGAAATACCAGAGAAATAGGAAATACTGGACATTGCACATGTCCGGTGTTTTTTAACCAGACGGAGCCCACAAATACCAGCCTGTCTGGGTGAAAACTGGACACCTGGCAACCCTACAATGATCGACTTGTGGAGTACTTGACTACTTGCTTCTCCCTCCACCCTTGCTGTGTCTGTATGAGAGGCGGCAGGAGTAAACTGGAGTGAGCTTAAAAGCTGATTTCCCCCAGCACCGTCTCTGTGGTGCTGCCTGCCCCCCACACTGCCGCTATCAGAGGCAGCGGGAGAGGGTGCAGATAGGGGAGGCTGTTATGAAGTCTCTCCTACAGAGGCAGTGAGGGCAGGGGGGGAAACAGCCTCTGCCCGCGGTGCTGTCTTTACCACTCAGCAGGCACCCAGAAATGAGGCTGCCCGGGGCATAGAGGCTGCAGGGCATGCCCGTGGGGTGCAGGGGAGCACCACCAAAGCTAGAGCTTTGCAATGCCTGACCATGTCCCTTTCTTACTGGTGCCATGTGGTGCTGCTGCCTTGGTCTCTGGCCACTGTGCTCGCCTTTCCCAGACGCTCCCCCCTGAGGCACATTCTAGACATTGCAGCCAGAGACCTGGGCAGTGGTGTGTAGCACAGGCAGGAAGGGGACATGGTTGGGCAGATGGACACTAAGCCAGGGTCAGGAGTCCCAGCCTGTGGGACTTTATTTTTTTTTCCAGTAAGCGCTTCAGCTCTAGAGCACCTGTGTAGTTGGTGCCTACGCATGCCCAGATGGTCAAGCCACAAGCTCTGTGAGTCTCTGTGCAAATAACTCACTTGCTGTGCAAAGTGACCATAAAAATAAAAAGGACAGGGCATGCCCCATGCAAACTCACTTCGAAGCTCAAGCCCATGAGTACAGAAGAACCTGGAATATTTACCCAGCTTCAATTGTCGTGTCTCCCAGGGAGATCTCTGAGTTCTTCGTTCCCAAAACACACCTTGTGCCAGCTTCCTACTTGCGAAGTGACTGGGCATAGGGTTGAACTGGGCATAGGGAAGCAGAGCACAGCAATTCGGCACTAAGGCAGGACTGAATGCTGCACACGTGTCCAATCAGGCTCTCAGACAAGCTGTTCTCCTCTTTATTGCTGGTAAGAAATGTAAAATAAACAGTCCAGAGGTCTCAATCCCAGGATCAATGTATGGACAGTACCAGTGTGAGCTTCTCAGGACTGTCCTGCCGATGCTTTTTAACCCAGTTAATAACAGAATGCTTGGATCAGAGATGGGACTAGCAAAATGGATATGTTTTATCGAAGGTGAAGGACTGCCTGGAGAATGTAGCTGTGTTTCCACCATTTCCATTCAATCTCTAGACTCTGTAGAGATGGCCAGTAAGAACACCAGCTCTGATCATAACTTATCATGTGCCTATTTGTCTGTTGCAACATGGACTAAAGCCATGACACCCATTTTGTATAGTGCTCGCACCTAGAAAAGAGGCTGTGATAGTCCATCAGACTCACCCAGTCCCCATTAATATCTTCTGATTGGCGATTATGTGAATCATTTAGTTCAGCCAAAGATGTCTGTTTCCGAGCTCAGTTGCTTAGTTCCAGGAGGAAGGGAGGTGTTGAAGCACCAGCTGGAAGGCAACTCCAAAGTTTGATGTCTTTTACCTTGGCCTTCTCAAGTGATGTCTGATCGCACTGTCTCCCCTTATAGGAGCTCTTCTACTCTCACCTCATTCTTGCTACAGGCAGTGATGGGCCTTTTCCTGGGAAGTTGAACCAGATCATTGACATGGAAGCTGCCATTCGAACTTATGAAGACCTGGTCCAGGAGGTGAGATTGAAGGCTACCAGGGGAAAAAGTGGTGGGTGACTTTCTCCTTTTGAGAAAGATGTAAGAAATTATAATTATGGTGAGAGCTCATATCAGTATCCAAATGAGGGAGGATGAAACTAACAAGAGTGCTGGCAACATCCAGATTAGGAGTTGAGAGGTGAGTGGGGTTTTATAACGCAGTGGTGCTTGGATCAGAGACGGGGCTAGCAAAATGGGTACATTTTACTGAAATTGGATTGAATTTTTTCCTTTAAAAATGAAATTTGAATAATTTTAGACCTTATTATATTTTGCACTGATCTCAAAACTTTTAAACATGTTGCAAGGGACTTCACCTTGAACCAACCTATAGTAAGAACTAGGAAGTATTTCATCTTCTAACCATTTGAGTTTGATCCCTTATGCTTGTGTTCAAACCTATCTCCTTGTAATTAAACCGGTTTTATTCTTTAAATAAATTTAATCCAGTGTTGTCTAATCTGAACTGTCTGGGTAACTCCATTTATGATAGCAAACTGTTGTGTATTGGTCAATTTGGGGGGCAACAGATCTAGTATGTGGGCTGTTCAGGAGAGCAATGGACAGAGCAGAGTATACATTTTGGGGGGAAATCCAGGACTGGAATTGTGTCGAGGCCACTCTGCAAGTGGGAATCAATAAGGGTGGAATCTAGTGAGTGACTGGTAGGCTTCAGCTATACACAGATAGTCAGAGTCTTACCTGCAGGCTAGAAAGCTGTTTGTGAGCAGCTCAGGTGGGAGCTATGGCAGCAGAGCAGGTTTGTAGAGAAAGGGTGGTGACACAACCCCTCACAGGTCTGGAGTGTCAAGGGGATCTCTTTAAAAAGGGAGAAGGAGCAGAGTGTGCAAGCAGGAAGAGCAACAGGAGGGAGGGGTGGGGAGAGGATAGAATTCTTCAGAGTGCAGCCTTTAGGATTTGATTTCAAACACCTGGAAACTGTGGGCTGGGGAGGAAGGAGAAAGCCCCATGGCTGTGGATTGTAGACACACCCTATCTGGGAATATTTTCATGAAATTCTTGTAGCTCTGAGTAAAAAGGAATATGTGCCAAAGGCAGAACTGCAGTATGGCTGCAAGGCCTGATTGTCAGAATGAGATACTATGAACAAATACTCTTCAGAAGACAGTGACTTTGTTCAGACATGTCTAGAGTCTGGATCAACTGGTTAGTAAACTTCATTTTTGCCCCATTCTTATGGGCTGCCCACCATGACTTACTGTGCTAGTAAACACGTTTGATGGCCATAAGATTGTCTTTTGAGTGGACTACTTATGATTTTCAAAATATTTGCTTTCAAAATATAATTGGTATGCTCACTTTTTGTGGGAGTATATCAATTTCACTGCTGCTGTTACTGCTGGACTTCTGAAATGATCTCTCATTGCACAGTATAATTCTATATCCAAGTTTAACTCCACCTGTTTAAAGATTTAGTAGGCATTTTTAACTTAAACATTTCAACTCAAGCTGTTTCATGTTGCTAGAGCTAAGGGTTTAAAGAGACAGAAAATCCTCATTTAAGTTTAGAATAAATCATTTAAACAGTGGGTCAAACAATTGCAGTAGGAGAGATCTCAGTCTTAGGGTATGTCTACACTACCCCGTTAGTTCGAACTAGCGGGGTAATGTATGCATACCGAACTTGCTAATGAAGCCCGGGATTTGAATTTCCCGGACTTCATTAGCATAAAGCCGGCGCCGCCATTTTTAAAAGCCGGCTAGTGCGAACCCCGTGCCGCGCGCCTACACGCAGCACGGGCTAGATAATTCGAACTACGTAGCCATTCCGAACTATCTGTACGCCTCGTTCCACTGTATGCATACATTACCCCGCTAGTTCGAACTAGTGGGGTAGTGTAGACATACCCCTAGTGACTGACTTTACCATTTTGTTTCAGGGCCTAGTTTAGACATAAGAGGTTCCATCATCTGCTAGTCTCACCAGCAGTGCTGCAACTAAATACACAATCTCTTTCCTATACCAGAGTCTTTCGTCATCCAGTAAACCAGCAGTTCTCAAAGTGTGGTCCACAACCATCTCGCAGGCGGGCTGCGGGCCTGGGGCTCACCCCCGCCACAAATAGAGTAGACATTGCTAGAAGACTGTGGGATATAGAGCAGTGGTTCTCAAACTTTTTGGCCCACATACGGATGTTAGCAACTAGTCAACTATCTGATAAACAAATGCTTAAGGGATAGTGGAGAAGCAGCTTGACTAGTCACTTCCCTCCCCCTCTCCCCACCTTGCTGCCTCTATCAGAGAGGTAGCAAGAGAGGGGGGAAGCAGGAGCTGGTGCTGAGGGGAGCCAGCTTAAAAGCAGGTTCTCCCCTGCACTGTCTCCCTTGGGGGCAGGGGAGGTAGAGGCATAGGCTCTGTGGGTGGCAAAAATATGCTAATGAGGAACTCATTTGCACCCACTGCAGACACTTCTGCTTTTGAAATGTACAAGAGCCCTCGCCCCATGCTTTCTGTGGCGCCCCCTCAGAGGCAGCAAGGGATGGGGGAACAGGAGCTGGTGCTGGAGGGAGCAGGCTTAAAAGCCAGTTCCCTCCAGCACCATCTCCAGGGTGCCATCTGCCCCCCTCACCCCTGCTGTCTATCAGAAGCAGTGGGGCAGGAGCAGGGAGATTGGGGCACTGCCCTCCCCCAGACAGTGGCTGTTGTTACTAAGCAGCCTCTGTTCATGGCAGCCGGGGCTGGCCACGGACAGGGGGCTGCTGCCTGAGTAGGCCCTGACCGCAGCCAGCTCTGGCTGCTGTGAACAGGCTGGTCCAGCACCTCTTGTTCCAGAGACTGTGTGAACTCAGCTATAGTAAGAAGGGTTTCCTACAAATCAGGAAGGTGCACAACTGGTGGTGCCAGAATGAATCTTCAGTCTGAGTACCTCACTCTAGGTTACTTTGTCTGAAACAATGCAACTGGAGATCTGATTTTGTTGGCTTCTTGACTTTTCAAGCTCCAGAAATCTCCACGTATTGTGATAGTAGGCGGTGGTGCTGCTGGTGTTGAAATGGCTGCGGAGATCAAAACAGAATACCCAGCGAAAGAGGTATGAGAAACAACATACAATAATTTAATGTTCCACACACTGCTTCCTTCATCTGGTGATTTTGATTTGTTCTTCCATATTGCCTCCTGCTAGACCAGTTTGGATTATGGTAACTATGAACTTCCTCACAACCTGACTTTCCTTGCAGCCAGCGTTCTTGCACTGTCTCCTGGGAATAGAATAGCTTAGTCTCTTTTCAGTGATCTCCCCCCCCCAGCTGTCCATCCTACTCTGCCTTTGTAGCCAAGAAGTGCATGCTGAAAGCCAGCAGTCTACCTAAGGCTTGTCTGTTGATTTCTTTGCCTGCTTACTGGGACAGCAGTCAGACACACTCCTGTTTAAAAAGTATTTGTTTCTAGCTGACTCAGGTTTATTGTTTTTTCCCAGTTAGCTGTCATTTCGCATTTGTTCACAGGTGACTCTCATTCACTCCAAAACCGCATTGGCTGATGTGGAGCTCCTACCAAGCGTCCGGCAGGAGGTGAAGGAGATTCTTCTCAGGAAACAAGTGCATCTCTTGTTAAGTAGGTTCTTAATCAAGTTCATGCAGTATTTCCCAAACTCAGATTGAGGTATCTAAAAATCCGCAAAGCTTCTTGCCCCACTCCTCCATCTACCCCTCTGCCATGTACGTTGGCCAAACCGGATAGTCTCTATGCCAAAGGATAAATGGACACAAATCAGACATTAGAAATAGCAACACACACAAACCTGTACAGGAGTATTTTAAACTGCCTGGTCACTTAATTATGAATGTAAAAGTAGCTGTTCTTCTACAAATGAATTTTACTAACCAGTTACAGAGAGAGTCTGTAGAACTGGAATTCATCTACAGATTTGACACTTTTACCCTGGGTTTGAACAAAGGCATTAAATGGTTGGAGCATTACAAAATCCATTTATCCTGCCTTTAACATCTGCATTTCCATATCAAAAGATATGTATGGAATACATCCAGCCCACTTAATTAGCTTCATTAGCATGGGTCCTACAATTGATGGGTGGTACTTCTGTTGTTTTATATATAATTGGTTTGTTATATCCACTCCAGTTTATCCGATGAAGTTTTTCCCATGAAAGCTCGTGATTATATATTTTGGTTAGTCTCTAAGGTGCCACAGGACTAGAAGGAACCTTTATCTCTGATGATTATTTTTGGCAAGAAAGACAGAACAAGGTTCCCTTCAATACCTGTTCACCCAGATCTGCTAGTGGCTGATAAGTTAAGATCCATGCATTGCTCCTGTAATGGGGTACAATACCCATTCCTTTTGATAGCTTTCCTGGAGCTGCATTAAGTAAACCAGCATAAAATGCCTTTCTAGAGCAGGAGTGGGCCCATGACAACTGGAAGGAGCAATTATAGGAGAGCCTCTGCAGGCCTGAAATGGAGCATGGCCAGAGCAGATACGTCTTCAAAGAATTTAGTTGACACGCTTAAGACTCTACTGCAGGCATGTCAAACTGGCGTTTGGATGGCTGCATGCAGCCCGATCGAAATTTTTTGCGGCCCGCTAGAACATTTTTATAAAAGAATGAAGTGTGGCCCACTGGCCACTCAGAGCACATGGCCGAATGCCTGCTCACGGCCGGCCGGGCTGCTCTGTGCCGCAGCAATTGCTCATGGCCGGCCGGGCACTCTGCGCTGGACTCTCCAGCAGGTGCTCACAGCTGGCCGCTCTGCTCGCACCGCCCCAGCGCCTCAGGTGGCAACGTCAGCTCTGGGACCCAGGTATTAGGTTGGGGGGGCTGGGAGAGCCTGGCTCTGTGGAAAGGGGGAGGCATTAGGTGGAGGGAGAGCTGGGGGTGCTTGGCTCTGGGGGGAGGCCCTGAGGCTGGGGTCCAGGTATTAGGTTGGGGGGGCTGGGAGAGCCTGGCTCTGTGGAAAGGGGGAGGCATTAGGTGGAGGGAGAGCTGGGGGTGCTTGGCTCTGGGGGGAGGCCCTTGGGTTGGGGTGGCCTGGTTCTGGGGGAAGGAGGAGGCATTAGGTTGGGGGGGCTGGCTCTGGGGGAGTGGAGGAGGAAAGGGTTAGAACGAGAATATGGGAGTTCCTGGCTCTGGGGGAGAGAGGAGTTATTTTGTTAATATTTTGGTTTTTTATTCATTCTAAAATAAAATCACAAAATGTATATTAATTTTATATAAATAAATGTCAATTTTTTGCAATTGCATGAATAATTATATCTTTATGCAAAATCTCAAACTTACAACGTATCTGAAATTTTCACAGAAGCCTGTTCTATTTGATTAGCCACTGTCTATACTTGTCTTTATTTCAACAAAACCAGTTATGTATCATATACAAAATTTAAAAGTACCTTAAATTTATATATAAATTAAAAATATGTAAAATTAATTTAAAAATTATTCAATATGAGCAAATAACAATTTTACACATCAAGTTATTGTAATATTATAAAATATATATCTAAAACATAATCTATAATAATAAATAACTACGACTTTCCAACGCAGTACATTTTCTTTGGTGGCCCTAGGATTGCCAGGTGTCTGGTATTGGTGCCTTTTGCCTGGCACCTAAAATGCTTTTTTTGCTTGACAAACGATCTGGGAACCCTAGGTGGCCCTGAAAGCTATCAGTTTTCGTTTGTGTGGCCCTCAGTAGGCTTCGAGTTTGACATGCCTGCACTAGAGTGCCAACAAAACAGAATGAAGATTTTGTTTTTAACAGTGATAAAACAATGCTTCCTCCCCTCCCCCCCCTCCAGTTTTATTTTCTGAAATTACATGAATGATTTTAGTTGAAGCTTTGGGAAGGGGGAAAAATCCGTTTGATGGAGGCATGGAAAATTCCAGCCTAAACAGTTTGTCAAAACTGTATATAAGCAGTTGAAAAGAGGGTCTTAAAAATGTGTCAAGCTATCAACATAATCGTATATAGCGGTCAACATTTTTCAAACTTTAGCTTCTAAATTTAGGTTCTAAAATTCACATTTCAAAACCAAAGTGACTTTTTAAAGGTGCTTGAGCACTGGCAGCTTTCATTGACTTCAGTGCAAAGGAAAGGCATTCAGCATCACCCAAGAGGTACTCCGCATGTGACAGGGTCAAGCCTTTCTGCATAATGGAAAAATGACGGCATTATCTGCAGAGACAAGAGGCTTGGACATTAGATGTGAAGGTACTTCACAGAAGATAAAAGGAAAAGTAGGAATTCAGTATGAAAAATGTGATAAGCTCCAGGAAAGGAAAAAATGGAGGAAACAGTCTCTGAAATGGAACTTTGGGAGATATTTTGGTATATCTTGCATAGAACAGATATTGTAATTGGTGTTCTACCTATACAATCTTTATAAAAGTATTTTTATTTAAAATGACCCACTTTGCACTCCTTAGGCTTTGGTGTCCAAGGAAGTAGCTTATGCTGCTACTCAACCAGGGGTTCTCAAGCAGGGGTATATCAACTCATCTAGATATTTGCCTAGTTTTACAGTAGGATACATAAAAGCAGGGCCGGACTGAGGCATGGGCGAGCTGGGCAGCTGCCCGGGGCGCCAACCAATGGGGGGCGCCTGATGGCAGCTATAAGGGGTGCGCGGTGTCCCTTACAGCTGCCATCAGGTGCCGCGCGCCCGGCTCCCGCAGCGCCGGCAACCAGCGCCCTTCCCCCCACAGCCGCGGGGCCCTGTGGCCAGGCCAGGCTGGGCAGCGCATGCACCATGCACCTTGGGGGCGGGCCAGTGCATATGCTGTGTGCCCGGGGGCAGCGCCACACACCTGGGCCTGGGACGCCAAAAGGGCTTGGGCTGGCCCTGCATAAAAGCACTTGCTAAGTCAATAAAAACAAAAATTCATACAATGACTTGCTTATGCTGCTCTATATACTATACACTGAAAGGTAAGTACAATATTTATAAATCAATCAATTGAATACTTTTATATGGTATAAATGAGAAAGTAAGCAATTTTTCAGTAATACTCTGCTGCAAAATGTTTGTATTTTTAGGTCTGATTTTGTAGTTTTTAAGAAACTTGGGCCATGCATGACAAATCAGACTCCTGAAAGGGGTGTAGTAGTCTGGAAAGTATGAAAGTCACGGGGACAAAGAGCAGCAGGGATGCTGCTGCACTAGTGATCAGAAAAGACCTCTGTGCTTCTTGTGACAGGTGAGAGAGTCCAGAACATGCATACGCTGACTTTAAACCAGTTCCAAGAGAATATGGCAGTGAAGACAGACAAGGGCAGGGAGGTTGCTGCTGACATGGTGATTCTCTGCACTGGAATCAAGATCAATTCATCAGCATACAGTAGTGCATTTGGTAAGTTAAAATCCCGGCACAGTGGGGCTAAGATTGTTCAGCACAGGTTATAAAATGTTTTAAACGTAAATATCAAAAAAGATATTTCGCCCTTGGAAAGGGTTCAGAAAAGGGCAACTAAAATGATTAGGGGTTTGGAACGGGTCCCCTATGAGGAGAGGTTAAAGCGACTGGGACTTTTCAGTTTAGAAAAGAGGAGACTGAGGGGGGATATGATAGAGGTCTATAAAATCATGAGTGGTGTGGAGAGGGCCGATAAAGAAAAGTTATTTATTAGTTCCCTAAATAGAAGAACTAGGGGACACCAAATGAAATTAATGGGTAGCAGGTTTAAAACACTAATAAAAGTTCTTCTTCACGCAGCGTGTAGTCAGCCTGTGGAACTCCTTGCTGCAGGAGGCTGTGAAGGCTAGGACTATAACAGAGTTTAAAGAGAAGCTAGATAATTTCATGGAGGTTAGGTCCATAAAAGGCTATTAGCCAGGGGATAAAATGGTGTCCTTGGCCTCTGTTTGTCAGAGGCTGGAGAGAGATGGCAGGAGACAAATCGCTTGATCATTGTCTTCGGTCCACCCTCTCTGGGGCACCAGGTGCTGGCCACTGTCGGCAGACAGGATACTGGGCTAGATGATCCTTTGGTCTGACCCAGTATGGCCGTTCTTATGTTCTAACTTTATCCCAGTTCAGTATTTTAGAGATTGTATGCAAGTAGTATTGATATACCAAGTAAAATAGTTAGAGCACATTTAATTAATCTCTGTGGTTAAAGCTTACACTTCAAAAAAGAAAGTGACCCTTTGGAAGTTTGTTCAAGAGGGTGTACACCTAGTGGTTTGCACAGGTTGAACCTCTCTGATCTGGGACTCTGGTCTGGCAACATCTGTGATCCAGTAGGACCACAGATGTTGCTGGACCAGAGAGCTGTGGGGGCAGCCTGGAAGCCATGCTGGGAGGCTGGGAGTGAAGCTGGAGCCTGGTGTGGAGCTGGTGGCCTGGTATTGGAGCCCAGCTGGGACCAGAGCCAGGCCGAGGAGCAGAGCTGGAAACGGAACCAGAGCTGGAGCCTGGCAGGGGCAGCGGCTGAGAGCAGAGCTGGAACTTGGCTGGGGGGACTTGGAGCAGAGCCACAGCTGGAGCCTGGCCAGATTGGGGGGAGGAGGGAAGCCAGGAGCAGGGAGGCTGGAGGGTCTGGGACCCAGCCAGGGGCCTAGCTGGGAGCAGAGCCAAAGTCTGATGGATGAATGTGCTGATAATACCGTGCTGCAGAAACATGGTGGTTGGAGGTGACGGGGGGGGGGGGGGGGGA